TTAATAAAAATATAGTGTTTTTTACTAAAGTAAAAAAAAAGTCTAGAAAAAAAAAAATGAAGAACATGTAAGAAAAAGAAACAGAATTAACAGTATAGGTAAAAGTGTAGAATTATACGAAACAATAAAGCAAGAGAAAAATATTTATAAAATTAGAAAAAGTGAATCAACTGTTAATAAGTTACAAAACAATGAAAATGATATAGGGCTGTGTAAATTCCAAACAAATAATTAAAATAAATTGAAGAAAAGTACACGATTTATTAGATATTCTGTTAATAAAAGAAATTATTAACCTTGTTGAAATTAAAATAATTATTTATACGGAAAATACACAGTTAGTTATGTGAGTGCTTGATTTATTAACCGGGTGTTTGTTGACTTTACCAGAGTATTGTTTTATTAATTGGTTTTTCGGTGACTTTCCTAGAGTACTGAACAAACAAATTAATAAAGAGCATGTAGAGTTGCCTCTACGGTTTTAATGTATTTATATATATTTATAAAGGCTCTGAACGAGTGATCATTAATTATGTAATCTACTTCATTTAGCATTCTTTAATTTCAATAAACATTTATTTACTTTAATAAAAATCCTTATTTTTATTAAAAATTTAAATCCCTATTGAATATTGACTATTAATTAAATGTAAATTACATGTTTCTTTATTATGAGTTATGTTCATTAATTTAAATATATTGTTGCTGAATTAACAAATATAAACAATTAGTAAAAATGCAAATAAATTATATGAATATTACTTACGTGAAAATTTTATGGTCATATGTATAAAATTTTCTCTAACAAATTAAAAATATAAATATTATGCAAGTTAAACTATTTTATGAAAACATTATTATCTTCTTAAGATCTTATTTTTATTGCTGCTAAATCTTACTCTCGATTTTAATTTTACAAATTCTTCTCTCTTTATTATCCAATTCAATCATTTCATTCATTTCATAAAAAAAAATAAATATCTTTTTTTTTTTTTTTTTTTTTTTTTTACGTATCTTCATTTTTCAAAAGAAAAATATCTCAAAAAAAAATTCCATCAATTTTTTTTTTTGTGTGTGTGTACATGACCAACTTCGTATCCTTCATTTAACTAGTCCTTTTATTTTCCAAAAAGGTTAATGAAGCCTTTTATTAACCAACCCTAGAAGAATTTTAACAGATCGCGGTTCAATTTACACTAGTCAAGAATTTCATGACTATGTTACCAAAGAATTACAGGTTAAATTGTTTCATATCAGCCCATATTATCCACAAAGAAAACGGTATATATGAAAGCTCTCATAAAAGCGTAGATTATATCATTAAAACTTTATATGAAGAAAAAGATCTACCTTTTGAAGAAATAGTACAAAATGCAGTACTAATATATAATAATACATGTCATTAAGCTATAGAAGAAACACCCTATTTTGCTATGTTTGGAATAGATTGTATCTGTGTAGGGTTTGCAAAATTAGTACCAGAAACTTCTGAAATTAGGATTATATGCTTAAACGATCGATGGAAAAAAATACATGAAGATGTTAATGAAATCAAAAGAAAACCTATAATTGAGAATAAAAATATTAAGGTTTAAGATATTATCTCATACGAATTATTGTAATACGAAAGGAAACAAATGAACCACTATAGTGGGAATATATCATATAAACCATATTGGTCATTTTCTCATAGAGTAACTAAAATTGAAAGCGGAATTCTGAAAGCATTACCTATATATTATAGAGGTAAAGAAGTACAAATTCCAACGTCAAAAATAAAATTGTTGAGTAACAAAACCAGGGAAATATATGAAAGGTAACTGCACAATTTAATACAAGTTACGTATAAGAATAAAAGGAAATTAAATCTGAGGCATGATTTAAAGTCCAAGGATTACCTAGATAGTCATAAATGGAATAGTATCATAACGTGTGATATCAACGGTAATCACGAAAGCAAATTGAAAAAGTAGTACAAAAAGGAATTGATGTAATAAAACAATACAAAAATAACAAGCTTTAAGTAATAACAATTACTTTCCCATGGTTGTGGAGTATGATTAATAAAAGCCTTTATTAACCTTTTTGGAAAATAAAAACACTAGTAAAATGAAGAGTACGAACTTCGTCATACATACACACACAAAAAAAAAACTGATAATTTTTTTTTTGTCTGTACTTTTTTTTAAAAAAAAAATACAAAGATCGTCAGGAAAAAAAATTGATTAAGAAGTCAATTAGAAAAATATTTGTTTCCAATAAATAAATATAAAAAAAAAAAAAAAAGAAAAAAAAAGATTTTTTTTTTTGGGGAAAACAAGTATGGTTTTAATGAATTTTGTTAGAGAAATTTTCATACATATAACAATAAAATTTTCATGTAATTAATATTTGTATAATTTTTGATATTTGTAAATAATTGTTTATGTTTGTTAATTCAACTGAAATATATATTAATTGCTGAATGTAACTCATAATATATAAACTAGTAATTTACAATTAATTAATAATTAATGTTCAATAAGGATTTAAATTTTTAATAAGAATAAAGATTTTTATTAAAGTAAATAAATGCCTATTGAAATTAAAGAATGATGAATGAAGTATATTACGTAAATAAGGATCACTCATTCAAAGTATATAAAATATATGCAAATAAATCAAAACCGCAGAGGCAACTCTATATGCTCTTTATTAATTCGTTTGTTCAGTACTCTAATAAAGTTACCGAACACCCAGTTAATAAAACATGCAAAAAAGTAAAATAAATAAAAATAAAATTGTTCTCTTTAAAATAAATAATCTTAAAAATAAGTACTAAATATATAACGATAACCAGAATTAAATTAATCCATACTCAACAAAAAAAGTTACAAAAAATTTAAACCAACAAACTTCTAATAACTAAAAACTTAATGAATTTTTACTAAATAAACATAACCTTCACTCTTTTCCTCACAACTTGCATATTCCAAATAAATTTTTTAAAATTCAACAATAAAATTTTTATAAAATTTATACCATGCCATAATATTCAAATAATTAATTTATCTGTTATCTTCTCTTTTTTTTTAATATACTTATTCATTCTTAATCATAATGTCAACTTAATAATATAAATAAATAAAAATAAAAAAAATTATAAAAAATGTTAAATAATTATTAAATTTTTAATAATGAAAAACCATAAATATAATTATAAATATTCATAAAAAAATATGTTTCACCTATAATATTCCTGCGAAAAAATAATCGACTCCCATAAAAATCATATAAAATGCTAAAAAAAAATAAAACACATTTACTTTGCTCACAGACTTTCTCAGTAAATCATTCATTGTAATATATATTGTAAAAATATAAATATAAAAAATAAAGAAAAAATTGAATAAAATGATAAATTTTATTTTATTTTTTTTTTTCATTCTTTTTTATCCAGAAAAATGAAGTTTCATAAATTCATCTCACACTTTTCATTCATTTTTTTTTTCAATGCAATGATATCTTGTTTCTAAGAAATTTTTGTTAATGAACTATTGTTATTTTTATTTTCAAAAAACATTATAAGAAATAATTTTAAAAAAAATAATCTGAAAAGAATTTAAATTTTCTTGTATTCATAGTAAAAAATTCTAAAATAATAAGAAAATATCTCAAAGAATATCAAATACATATATATACATATATTACCAAATAAAAATTACTTAATAAAAAAACAAAAATATTAATATGGTTATAATGAAAAAATAAGTGCATTACTTATTAACTTTAATTTTAGCTTTTTTTTTTTTATAAATATATATTTCTTCAAAAATATAAATAAATTATAATTCACTAATTTGTAACAAAAATTTAAATATTAAAGCAAAAAAAAAATTGGAATAACTTTAATATTCGTTTAAAGTTTAATAATTTAACAACAAACAATATAGATTTTTATAATTGTAAGTCATTTTTCTGTTAAACTTAAAATATATTTTTTATGAAAATATATATTAATGATTAAAATATTATATAACTACCATTTATAGAATTTACATGTATATATATATATATATATATATATATATATATATTTTTTTTTTTTTACGTATTTTATATTTTATAAAAATATTATTTAGATCCTTTATAAGAATTATAAGTTATTAAGTACATTATATTGTTTGTATATAAACTATATTTTACTTCTTCAATTATATAAATTTACTATTCAAAAAAAAATTCTGTAAAAATATTATATAATAATTAAATTCTTTATTCGAAATACAAAAATTAAATAATCATATCATTATTTGAAATTTACATTCATAATCATATGATTATATAAAAAATTTAAGAAAACACAGAAAAAAAGTTAAAATAATTTCTTTTTTTTATACTAATTTTTTTTTTTAATTATAATTTCATAACATAAAATGATGTTTTACCATATCAATTATTTTATTTTTTTTTTTCTTAATTTTAATTTTATAAATTAAACTTTCGTTTTATTAATTATATTTTTTTCTTTGTTATTTGAAAACTAATGACATTATTGTTACACGAAATTAAAAATTTAATATTCTACACAAAAAGCAAAGAAAAAATTCACTTTACTCTATAGTAATGTCATATACTATATAAAATTCCAATTTAAAATATAAACAAATTTATAATATAGTTATCACATAATTACAAGTATTGTCATTTATATGTAGAAACTATAACAATTTCCCAATGTAATTCAAGTGTATAATGATGCTCAAAAATAACAAAAAAATCTATATTCAATTTTTTCGTCAAATTAAATTATTTTTCTTCCTTAATTGGATTAACGAACATTTTTTTAACGTTTCATATATTTAAAGTATAAAATACATACATATACATTACTTTTTGGTTATCTTGAAATTTATAAATTTATCTATAATTCACATAAAAATTTCTTTTCTTTAACAAATCAATTTTTGGATATTACTGCAAAATATTTTAAGAAAGACTTTTATGATGATCTTATAATCATGAGAAAAAAATCCATCATAAAGAAGGCAAGATTATTAACAGAATTAGAAGAAATTTCCTGCATGTCAAATCAAGGAAATAATACAATAGAAAACAATGCTACTTTATCTAATGATACAAGTAGGCTTAATACAGAAATTCAATCGTTTATGGATGATACTCGCAATGAACTTCGATTTTATCTTCAAGACGATAGAATTACTAATGACACAGAAAAATGTCAAAAGTCATCCACATACATAAATTGGAGAGGAATGGACTATGTTAATTTGCTATTAAGTGAAAAAGAAAATTATAATATCTCCTGTCTTGTTGAAAAATGGAATGAGAAAAAAAAAACTTTTGAAGCAAGTATAGTTGAAAAAATCAATTCAACGTGTAATGCAGCAGCGTTTGATTATTGTACTATTTTGAATAAAAATGAAAACTGCACTAGACCTTATGAATATAATGATCTATCAGTATCCCCATCTTTAACATACGAAAAACTCAATGATGATACTTATAGTTCTAATAAAACTCAAATTATTGAGCAAAGACAGCGTAAGTTTGACAGTGTTACTAATGATATATCTTATTACTATTACAGAAAGTATGAGACTGACAATTCTCCACTTAATTGTGGAAAGTGGAGTATGTATATATATAAGAGAGGAATGCAATTTATTAATATGTTCGCCAATGAATTTTATGATGATCCAATATATGTAAATGATTCTATTAGAATATGGAATGATCATAGTAATACATTGGAAAGAACTGTGTTAGAACAGACTGGTAATCAATGTAATATGACAACAATAATTTATGAAATTAAAGAGAGAAAAAATTCAAGTAATCCATATGATTTATCTTGGCTTCCTTCAAATAGCACTCAAAATAATTTTAATGAATCTATATATAATACAACTGTATTACCAGATGCCTTACAACCTACAACTGTAACTCCTAATGGATTACATAATGATACTGCTACAGATTCCTTGGGTAGCAACACGATTAGTGTTAATAACGTAAATGGTGTGAATCCCTCTGAAAATACATTAACAGGCGACATCTCAGTACCACCACCTACTGCAGATCAAATTGACCCAGAAATTGCAACCGCAATTTCTCCAGAAGACTCAACACAATCCAATTCTTTAACTCCAAAAGTCACAATACATTCTGATACTAATACTATATCTAACACAACCTCATCATCACATTCCCCTGAAGTTGCAACATCTCCTGCAACTGAAATATTACCTTCAAATTCTACTACAAGTAGTGGCACACCTTCAGTTACACCTTTACCTAGAAAAATATCTCCTACAGCGACCAATGTATATTCTAATACTACTATGAAGACATTTACAAATAATATTACACCTTCTACTACTATCACTGCGCCTCCTACAACTGCATCTTTATCTTCCCCTGAGGATATGTCTCCTACAAATATAGCTATACCTTCTAATAATAACACTGTATCTCTTACAAGTAGTAGTGCACCTACAGTTACATATTTACCTGTTAACCAGTCTCCTCCAAATATAACTGCATCTTCTACTACTACGGTTGAGTCATTGGAAAATAATATTACACCTTCTACAACACCAACTAAATCTCCTGCAACTTCTTTACCTTCTAAAACTGTAACTTTTGTAAATAAAAATATATCTATAAATGGCAATACATCTGTTACAAATGTTACTGCATCTCCTATAATTGATCCTGTTTCTTCTGAGATTGCACCTTCTCTTACAACTATGTCTACGACTTTTACAGATGGTTCTACACCTCCACTACCTTCATCTATTCCTAAAATCACAACTTTGCCATCTACAAATAATTCTACATCACGTACAAATGATATGTCTATTCATCTTACTAATGAAGTTACTCATAAAACTGCAACTTCATCTTTTTTGACAAATACCATTGAAAATTCTACTGCTACCATTGATCCATTTACAAATAAAATTGCATCTCCTGAAACTGACATTACATCTCTTGCAATTAACACTACAACTCTTATGCCTGATAATATATCTCCAACTCCACTTTCGAATCCTCTTGATAAAACACCTATTCCCTCAAATACAACTGCTTTTTTTCCTACAACAAGTAGCAATTTACCCTCATTTCAGACAGATGGTATCCAACTGCAGATCCCACGAAATATACATGTCCCTCTTAAACAGGTTCAACCACATGTAAATGGAAGAAATTGTACTGAAAACACTTCATCATGTCCAAGTGCGACTGTTCCAAATACTTTGACGCCAACCCCATCAAGTGACCCTACCGAAGTTACGCCTACAGTTAAACCTACAGATAATTTATTAATACCAATGGTTTCAGGAGGTATATTTATTTTAGGAATTATTTTTCTTTTGATTCTTCTTTGGAAAGTAAGATAAAATTAACATTTAAAATTGAAAAAACTTATATATTTAAAATCATAATTACATTAATGAAGAATTTTTATAATTTTTTATTTTTTAATTTGAATTATAGTGTACTCCTATTGGATCTTGGATTCGTAATAGGAAGTCAAAAAAAAAAAAAGCAAGAAAAAAGATTAAGAAAATAACAAGGGAACCGTTGCTAATGGATACAAATAATATAAAGAGTGAACCAATAAATAATGAAAATTATTCGTTCTTATATCATGAAAAAGAAATACCACTATGTAATATAAGTTTGGAAAATGAAAAAGATTTGAAGTATAAACATGTGAAGAAATCGAAAGCACATAAAGGAATGTATATGGAAAATGAAGAAGACTTGAAGCATGAAAAAATGAAGAAATCCAAAGCACATAAAGGAATGTACATGAAAAATGAAAAATATTTGAAGTATGAACAAATCCAGAAATCTAATGCTCACGAAGAAACGTATATGGAAAATGACAAAGATTTGAAGTTTGAACAAATTAAAAAATCCAAAACACATGAAGGAACCTATATGGAAAATGAAATAGATTTGAAGTATGAAGAAATAAAGAAATCCAAAGCACATGAAGGAATATATATAGAAAATGAAAATAAATGCATTCGTCAAGTTGTAGATGTATCAAAGAAACACGAAAATGAATCGATGTTGGGAGAAAAATTATATCAAGATGATCCTAGAAATGAAATTGAAGAAATGGAATTGAATGTAAATAAATCTATAAATGAAATTAAAGATGAATTAAATAAAAATATATTAGAAAAAGACCCTGTTCATATTGTATGGCATATTAGGAATGGCACATTAAATGAGGAAAAAGCAAATGAAATAAACTTGCAAAAAGAAAAATCTACATGTGAAAATGAAATGAAAAATTTAGAAAATAAAAGATCACTTAATGATGAAGTATGTAGTTGGAATACATGGATAAATATACATTTGATAGCCTTACTTGAGTATAAAAAAGAGGAATGGAAATTGAATAAATCCGAATTTTTTGATATTTGTTTAGAAGAGATCGAAAAAGATGGAGAAAATTCTAATTTAAAAGAAATGGGATATAATTTTGTAATGAAAATAAAAGAAGAAAATAGTACCCATGCTACAGATAAATATAGTAGTATATTAGATAAATATAAAAATGAAGAGTGGTTTATTAATTTGAAGAAAGAATGGGAACAAGAACAAGAAAAACACTTAAAATATTTAGAAGAACATGAAATTAAGAAAATGTCAGAATTGGGATTAAATAATTTTATTCTAGGTAAAAAAAAAAATATATGGAAGAAATGGATAGAATGGCAAATAAAGCATTCATACAAATACAAAAATCAGAAATGGTTTATACAATTGCTAGAAGAATATGAAAAAAAAGAAATACATGAAAATTTAAAAGAAGAAAAAATAGAGAAAGAAAGAAATAATGGAATAGATAAAAATGAAATGAAGAAAAATTTGGAAAGGAGAATTTTTTTAGATATTTATATGATGTTATTAGAGGAATGTATAAAAGAAGAGTTGCAAAAAGAAGAAAAATTTTATAAAACAAACATAATAGAGATAAGAAAATTTAAAAATTTGGACGAAGAAACAAATAAATTAGAAAAAATAGAGAGAGAAAGAAGTTGGAATGTTATATCAGAGAAAGAAAAAGAGGCTATAGAAAAATGGAAAAAAGAAAAATGGTTTATTGAGTTAATGTTAGAATGGAAAAATAATGAAGAAAAATATATGATGGAGATAAATGAAGAAATTTTAGCAAAAAAGGATCAAAGAAGAGTAATGGATATTATCTTAGAAAGACAAGGCATTATATTGAAAAAACACTGTGAAAATATTTGTAGAAAGTGGAAAGACGATGATAACAATGAAGAATGGCTTACAAAGTTAGTGAATGAATATGAAAATGAAGAGAAAGAACATAAAAGTAGAACTTATAAAAATAGTATAGAAAAAGAAAAGGAAAATGAAAAAACCATAGGAAGAGGTGAATCAATGCCAGAGATTAATAAAAAGGAGGAAGGTAAAATGAGAAAATATGAAAGGAATCATTTAGAGGAATCATATGAAATGAATAATTCTAGAATAAACAAAAAAAAATTAAAATGGAAGACATTAATAGAAATATATATGGTAATATTGGAGGAATATAGAAAAGAGGAGTGGTTATTGAATAAAGGAAAATTTTTAGAAATCTGTTTAGAAGAATTTATAGAAGAAGATAAAGAAAAATATCCAAAACTAATAGAAAATGATTTAGCAATGATAGAAGAAGGGGAAGAAGACATTAGTACATTGATGATTGAGAAACAAAAACGTTTATGGAAAAAATGGGTAGAAAGAAACAAAAGAATGTCAGAAAAATGGAAAAAAGTAGAATGGTTTATTAATTTGAAAAAAGAATGGGGAAAAGAACAAGTAAAATTTGATGAATTAACAAAAGAATCAGAAATATCAGATATAGAAGCAGGAAAAAATCCTATGCTAGAGAAACAAAAAAGAATATGGAAACGATGGCTAAAAAAACAAAGAATGTGGTTTATACTACATAGCGAGGATGAATGGTTTAACAATTTATTAGAAGAATACGAAAAAGATGAAGAACTTAAGGAAAGAATAACCAAAAAAGATGCGAAAGAAGCGAAGGAAATTCATGAAAATATAAAGGAATTTAAACAAGAAAGAGATGAAGAAATAAAGAAATATAAAATAAAAGAAAAATTGATACAAAAAGTTTTGATAGAAATAC